AAATGGCAAGAAACTGTTTTTTCTTTGTGATCCTGTCTGATATCTGTTTTGTGGGCATTGATCCTGTGGCGAAGTGTCTGAGACGTTTGTCCAATGTCAGTCATGCTTAAATTCGACACTTTACACTTACGTTTGAATAAAGACTCTAATTAGCTTACCCATTACAAAGATAGCTTCCCCAATTATCACCTCTAATATCATTAGCTCACAGACATTTACCTCCCCCCCCATCCCCCTTCTGTTCTGAAATGTGATTTGTCCTTTTCATATGTGTTCATTTTTTTAATTGTATCCTTTGGTATATATGGTTGTGACAATTTTCTTCCACTATTTGATCTGAGGAAGTGGGTCTGGCCCACGAAAGCTCATCACCTATTAAACCATCTTGTTAGTCTTTAAAGTGCTACATAGTCCTGTTTTTTGTTTCTGCATTAAATAAGTTTTTTTCAAAAATCCTTTGCTGAAAATAGGTTTTAAAATAAACACACAAGGTCCAGAGTAACTTCACTTAAACTGTTTAATATTTAATATATTGTTTAATAGCAAAAAGAGCAGTGTCAACATATACACATCTTCTTGGGTGTCACCAAAAGAGCATATATATATACACACACACACACACACACACACACTGACTGTGAAGTAGGCCTTGGACAGCACATCTTAAGATTTGGGGGTAAAGGCCTCAATGCTAATCAATAGGCTGTTTTTACAACAGTACATTCATCCAGTCTGAGACCTTATGCCCCAATGGGTGCTCTCAGAGAGAAAGGAAAATAAGGACTGTATAAAGCATGCAATTCTATACCCACCTTCTCAGAGTAGGATTTCAGTAGTCAAACAGCTCCAGATAACATCTGTTTCACTCCTGTAGAAATTAACAAAAAGCAGGAAAGGGAAAGGGCCTGCCCGAGAAGCACAAACTGGGTGGCCATCCCAGATAGATGTGCGGAATAACTCTTTGTCTGTATCAGTCACAAACCTGTAGCCCCCTTTGCTTTTCTTTCCAGCCACATCAATATTTTCTGGCATACAGTTCTCCTGATGCCATGTGGAAAAAGGTAGACAGACACAGGGCAGAATGAAAACAGCCAAATTGACAAAACTGATCTAGACACAATCATAGATTGTGCCAACATCAGTAAACAGGTGACTGCTGAGTTAAGTTTTACTAGGGAAAATAAACTGTGGATTGGTTTCTTATGTTACTTAATCTAGGATGCTAACCCTTGGGTTACTTTACAAACCTGAGGCAGGATATAGACCCTTGTGTCCTTCCAGGGATCTGGAATGGGGATCAGCTGTGACAGGAGCTGTACTTGTCATTTTGTACCTAAGAACACAATAATATCTAGATCTTATTAAATAATTGTTACATTGTAATAGACGAGTTGTCTAGTTCTGTATTCTGTTTCCAAGCGGCCAGTGTGTGATGCTTCGAGGAAGGTGTAATTCTCACACAGTACACCAATGACAAATGGGGTGTGAAATTCCTTCCTTACCTCAGTGGACCAGTATAGATCACAAAACATACAAACTGATCTTTGTACAATTCTCAACATGACTTACACCACCTTAGGGGCTACAATGGGTCAGTCAGCTGGAGATAGCTGGAATGCAATATGCACCTCTGGTACCAGGGTGCAGGGACCACAAAGGAGCTATGTCATGTCTGGGGCTGCTGGGGACTCATGGGTGGTTTCTGCTCCCCTTGTGCTATTTGAACAGGGCAAAGAAGGTAGAATAGGATAAAGATCCAGAGTACTGGTTTGAGCCTTCACTTTTTTGAAATATGTTTGGCTCTCCAGATGAAAGCACTGGTCACCATTTCAGCAGTGCATTAAGTGCTGAACTAGTGCCTATTCCACACTTTAGTCTCTACTCCCTCCCAAGCAAAACACGTATGAATGACATGCTAAATGTGCACATTTGCTGGAGTACAATACCTAGGTTTTTTTTGTGGCGTTACCATTAATTCACAACTCATACACTGTACATGTTAAGTTTAAATTGTCTTAACATGCCTTATGTTGCATTGGTTTACACAGACTGTCTGGCTAATCAGTACTTGTGAAGTTCCTCAAAACTCCATAGGCTTGAGGAACCTAACTAATATTTCATAAGCATACTTTGCCACCTCTCTAGTCACCCTTAATTTCCTTAAATTAAAACATTAATTACCAATTCTAGAACTTATCTGTGGGGCTTCCTTTAAGGCCCTTTCTATTCTGAAAACTGGACACACTTATTTTTTGACTAACCCTTAACTATTTTTTAATCTATATCAAAACCTTGAGTCTCTCAGCTCACTGCTACCTACCTTTATCAATGAAACACAAATGTGGTCAGGAAGAATTCATGGCTGAAGGTGGTTGACAGGAATTTTTTCAGAAGTTTTAAAAAAATCTAAATAAAAAATTGTCATTATTTAGTTAACCCTTTCAAAGAATTGTTACAGGTTAGACAAAATTTATCCTTAGAAGAGCTGTACTTGTCCGCTTGTATTGCGTTTTATCAAGGAAGTCAAACTTAATTTAACAAAATAATTCAAGTAATTTCAGATTTGAAAAGGGTTACCTCTTCCCATACACATTGCTAGATGACAGATGTCCAATATTAGGCTCGTTGGTAAGCACTAAGGATAAGGCCAGCAATTTTCACACAGAATTCCTTTGGTTAGATTGCAGCTTAGTAAAGCTCCATCTATCTTGCAGTAAACTTCATCTAAATTCACTACGGTAAGGCTTATTCATTTCTGCTGCGTTCCAGTATGGCACAATGAAACATGCAGAATCTTGTCAAGTGTTATTCAAACATTGCTCTTTGAATTTACAAGAAACTTGTGACTGAAAGGGTTTGTGAGCGCGCGCATGTATTCAATATTATTCACTCCAGAGAGCTTTACTTATTCCACCTTGTCAGCAGATGGCTAGAACCAAAAACTTATTCAATGAAAGGCAGCTTCTTACCTCATATAAAATGTTCACATACCATGTCAAGAAGGAGAGGTAATAAAGTATGGCACCATTCAGCCACCACACACAAAATCCGTCTCAAGCTCAACCCTCCCCTTAAAACTCTGGAGTCAAGAATCCAAAGGCGACCTAGGACTTCTTACTTCCAAGTCAGAGCTCTAGAGCTCTACAAGCAGAGGGGATCAGTACAGTATATGGCCCATTAAATGTATTATCTGTAAACCACAGCACAACACAAAAAGGTATGCCATTTTACACAAGTGAAAGGACACACACAAGCTCTCCCCACAGATCCACCAACATACCTTCATCCTGCTCTTCCAACACCTCCTGCTGTTGCAATGTAAACCTTAGTAAACCTCAATCCTAATACCCCACACTCTGAACAAAGTACCAGTTGTACCATGCTCTAGGATGAATATTTACTAGGGAGTAGAAGAAGAAATTTAATGCATAATTTAAATCAGGCGTCAACTTCTCAGGAAAAATATTGTGGGAGCCATTTTCAAATTACAGGCTACAGAAGGTTCTTGCTTTTAGCCAATGTTCCCCTCTAATCTTTACCATCGATGCACAGATTTTTCTGTTGATGTGCAGAATAAACTTATGTGCCCAAGGTATGTGTGAATGCACGCCCTCAGCAGAAACAAAAAACTAGCTGTGGGCACTCTGCTTATCAGCAGGGCAGAATCTGAATCACACAGCTTACAGGGAACACTGCTGACTGCCCATTAAAGTGTTTTCTAAAGGCACACAGGCTCTTCACTACAGAACACTGATGCTTATAGAAGCAGTTGGGGAAAGAGGAAATGAAAAGAAAAACAGGATTCTAATTATTTCATCCCAAAAAAAGGTAGTTTGGAATTTACTAATTCACTAAGTACCCTACTTGCCACATGGATACAGTGGTACAGAATTAGGATGTTTGGGATGAGAAATTGTTTACTAAATTCCTCATACTTTTGTGATCGATATGGCAGATCTTGAAAACCTCTGGACTGAGGCAGAAACCAAAAAGTGCCACTGAACTCCAATGCACAATGTTTTGATCCAGAAGGGTGAAAACTAAGGGCCCAGAAAAGCGGAGAGTAAACTTCACCCTCGTGTTTATAGTTGGCATTGATATTCTGAAGCTAGCCCTCCCCTACCACACACAAACTTTGAACTCCATACAAAGCTGGCAAGAAAATTAATTTATCTTTCCCACTGGAGATTTCAAGAGAGACACAAGGAAGTAGGATACTTCTCTGAAGAAACTGGAACAAGGAGGGAAAAAAATAACATTGACTGAAATTTACCATCAGTTATATTTAGAGGATGTATCATTGGAGGAACTGAAGCTAAAACAGAAGGGAGACTGAAACCCAAAACAGTAGCACAGAAATCAAACAAGACCCAAATACAACTCCGAAAAATACCTCTATGATGTATCAAAATGATGAACAGTCTCTCTTCCCTCTGCCCCAGATTGTGTTTTAATAATAGCAGGACTTTTAATTTTAATTGAAAAGAAGAGGATGATGACTAATTAAGAAAGGCCTCCTTTATTAAAAATGGCAAATTCAAAATGGTAAATGCTGATAAAGTTTAGGCAGTCTGACTAAAATGTTTTCCCCTAACAATTTAATTTTCATTATCCTGCTGCTTCTTATGTCACTAATTATAATAGCTCTCCAGTTTTTCAGCGTATATGGGACCTACATTTCTTACATAAAAGTTAAGCAAAAACTTCTGAAAAAAATGCTTTTACATGCATTTTTTTAAAAAGCAAAAGGGGAACCAGTCCATTTTTTCCTTTGTAGGTCCACCTTTAAGAATCAAAAGTTACAGGTTGGTGTGCAGTAAACCAAGAAATATAAAATGGTATGTCACTATTCCCCCCTGTTAATCTTGCATAATTCAGAACTTGATCAATTTCTCACTGAAGTCAATTAATGTCTTTCTGCTGAATTCAATAGGAATTCATCTGTGCAGAGTCTGGAAGATGGTTAAAATGAAATAAAACAATGAACATTTAGAAAAATATGTTTTTGATCACCATAAGTTTATTTTAAATGATTTAACAAATAAAAGTGTTAGATTTATGCAAGCAAACATTTTAACACTTTAATTTTTGACAAACTGTACAAATGAAAACCATCACACTACAGGTTTAATGACTCAGGGATCATTCAGGGTGGGCATGTATGCGTCTGTGGCACACCGAGCGAGTCCAATTCCTGAGACCAGGGTTCAGATCTTCTGGTTCTTCAGAGTAGGCAGCTGCTAAATGATTTAACACAAACAGTTACTGGATCACAATACAATGAAAGAAAGGCCATTTCAAATCATGTAAGTGACCTCAATTGTCTGGTCCAGGTGTTCGGCCACAGAGCCTTACCGATTAGTTGTCTTCTTCAAAAGTGAGTTGACAGATTTTCTCCCTTGCTTAGTGAGGTGGTATCCACATGTGTTTATACACTACAGTATGAGTCCATTTAAGTACAGGTGTAATACAACAGTAATTATAAACCACAGGACATGAAACAAAGTCAATTCTATTCACACTTTCTGCATTTCAAACAATGGAAGCAATCAAAATCATGCATTACATTTGAAATGAACTTTTAGTTTTAAATCTTCTGTAAGAATCTCTGTTTCCTTAAGTTCTGAATAGGTTTTCTTGAGCTTGTCTCACAGGCTAGTCATGGAATGTTACTGATGGAAATGTGTGAACTGGAAACCATCAAAAAGTAGTAAAGAATAAAAAGACAAAAACAAACAAAACCAACCAAATCACACATTCAGAGATTCCATTTTAATTGCCAAGTACAGAAAATAAACTGGTGAAATTTCACAAGAAAAACATTTTACACAATCCAATATGTACAGAATAAAATGTGTGTCTGGTTTTTGGTAAAACAAGTGTAAGCGTTAGTCAATATCTACTGCAGGATGCAAAATATTCCCATGTTAAACTGAAACAAAGAATATACATAAAATCCCAGCACTGGCTCCTCAAATATTGAGACTGGCTGGGTCCATTTCAACCCACTGGGCTCTCTACTGAGCTTTCAGTCGTTACTGAAGCCAGCTTATTAGTTTCCAAACTACTGTCAGTTTTTGTCTTGCTCTGGGCAATGCTCAATCCACTGTCCTCTGAGCCATCCTCATTTGCAGGTGTTTCCATGAGCTCTGGGAGGACAGTTTCAATGCATCCAGAAGCCTGGTTTTCCACATTATCTCCATCACAGCTCAATGATGGCATTTCAGTAATGTCTGCCGTGCTATCTTTGCTCTCTTCCACTTGCAGAAGAATCTCAGAGATTGGAGGAATGCCCTGTATTTCTAACACTGGCATGCCCACTTCTGTAGTGTCACTATTTGATGACCGTGACTCAATGTGTGGGACAGCTGTTTCAGAGATCAGTGTACAAAATTTATCTTCCTGATCACCAGAAGTTAATGCAACAAAATCAATAATTTCTGGTTCATCCACTGACTGTTCAATGCTTAACTCACTGGTTTTGCTAGGCTCCAGCCCAATGGATGCAATGGTTTCTAATTTTGGGAGATCTTCAGTATCCTCATTTAGAATTCCTGCAGTTAGAATACCGAGGTGTTCACGTTCCACTTCAATGTCCCCCAAACTGAAATCAATGCTTTCTAACTCCAACTCTGCTTTCAGGATGGGCGTGTCACTAGGTTTCTCATCTTCTGGCTTTAAGGAATCTTTTTCGTTTTCCTCATTAAAATTTAGCGTGAGAGTTTCTGACTGTTCAAAGCTAAATTCTGGGTAAGTGGTGTTAAGATCAAAATCACTAGCTGCTGAAGTAGCTAAGACCTCTTGGTTTATTTCTGTGTGGGTGAGGGTCTCTCCTCCAAGACGATCCACACTGAAGTCTGATGGTAGAGCATCTAGTGGCCCTTGAATCATATCAGACGGAGTGCTAGAAAAGTCAACACCTCCTATTTCTAATGAATCTTTCTCTGCAGTAAAATTCCCTAACTTTATATCTGATTCAGGGCCTCTCAATGTATTATTTTCAATATCATACATTAATTCTAGGCTGGAACTGGATTCAACAGTATTTGCAGCACAGGTGCTGACTAGCTCTGTGACTCCCTGCTCCTGCTGGTGGCTGTCCAATGTTGCACAGCTTGAACATTCATGCCTGATCTCTTCTTGTACCACTAATATGCTACTTTTCATTTCTACATTAGTGAGACACATACTGACTTCATTAGAATCATTGTTTATTTCCTGATTATCTACTGTTTGAGTATATGGTAATTCTTGACTACTTTCTGACTGAGAACTGACTACAGTGTCCTGTTCTTTTTTATTACTAGTTTGGGAGAAGTCCAATTCACCTGGGCATTTTGCTGTCAATTCTGAAACCCTATTTTGGACCTCTGAAGTCTCAGGGGCTTCATCAATGACTGCTGACTGAGACCTTTCCAAGTCTACATTCTCTAGTTTTACACTTCTTAAGGATGTATCATGTTCTGTATTTATCACTACTGAAACGTTTTCCTCACTGACTTTATCAGATGTACTTAGTGGTTCAGGAGCCAATTCACTTTGAACATACGGCAACTCTGAGTCAATTTCTTTATTAGTGTTACAAATGTCATCACTTCTATTTTCTTCCGTTAAAGTGGGATCTCCCAACGTGTGGATTTCATTGTGTCTTTCAGGTAACTGATTCCCTGGATGTTCAACACAAAGTTCAAATTGAGCTCCTATTAATTCTGAATTGTCCATCTCTGCATCTTTTTCAGAGGTATTAAATACATCTACTTTGGTGTCCACGGAGCTGACCCTCTTCTCCTCTTCTGTTTTCTCTTGGACCTCAACTATTTGTGGATCTTGGAATTCCTGGCAGACCTCTTGTTCTTCACTTGTTCCATCCATACCTCTCATTTCTATAGATTTCTGGATATGGGTGACAGTTGTAGCCTCTGGCAATTGTGTGACTGACATTTCTAGTTTCTGAGGCTCTGGTGGTTTTTTGCTAATTTCTGTCTGATCAATAGTTTCCATTTCTACCTCATTCTCCAAATGAACTGAAGCACCTGCTGTCTGATCTTTAGACTGTGTGATTGCTTCTTCTTTGGATTCAGATTGAAAGTCAGATGCAAGAACATTTTGAGATTCACAGATCACCTGGCCCTCAGCCCGGTTTGGGATTTCGGTGCTCTTTTCTGTAGAGGGAGTTGAAGTCTCCTGGACTTCTACTTTCTCAGGTTCTGAGACCCCCTCATCTAAGTGGACATCTGTGTAAGAAGCTATATTTTGGAAAGTTTCTTTCTCGGAGGGTGGACTGTCACTTGGTTCAGCGTTTGCAGGCATATCTGTGCTTCCCTCTGCTTTTTCTATATTTAAGTTTTCTCCATTTGGAACTGGGGAACTTGCCAATTTGCTATCAGATGAATTCTTTCCACCACTACTGTAGAAGATACCATAGAGGTCTTTAGCATTAGCTGTGGCCAGACAAGAGTTCCGTTTCTCAACTTTTTTAGCCTGTTCACTAAAAACAGGAGAAGGTGGTGGAGGAGGGGGGAGCACTAGCATTGCCAAGATGGCCTGGTCACACTCAGACACCCCTGGTGCTGCGTCATCCGCTGAGATTACTGCTGTCTGTTTAGCTGGGGATGGAAGTGAGGGTGGAGGGGGGGGTGGTTTCTCAGATGATTCATTTTTCTCTGGCACTTTAATATCCTCCTGTGTCCCTTTCAAAATCACCTCCTCTCCCCCAAATGCTTTTGAGATTATATCTGGAGGAAGCAGAACATCTGCATTAGATTCTTTCACCACAGGTAGTGGTTTGGTGGTGGCACCGGAGGATTTTATAGACAAAAAAGTGTTCAGAGGTGCTGGCTTGCTTACTGTTGCAGTCGCAGACTTCCTGAAAATCATGGTAGGAACTGGCAGATTGGGTCGAATTTTTGATTGTGTTGAAGTGGAAGCAACTGGTGTCCAGGGGCTAGTGTGTGGTATAACAGTCTTCCCAGAGAGTTTAATTTCAATTGGCTTGGCATGCGGTTTCCCAGATTGAGGCTTGGCCTCCTCTTTATCTTTGCTTCCTTCAACACTCTCCTCTTTTGGAGGAGCGACAGTTGTTCCTGGATTTTTATCCTCTCTCTCATTCTTTTTCCAGCTGAACTTTCCAAAGGAAGATTGAGTTGGCGATTCCTTTTTAGAATCCTCCTTCTTCTCGTCCTTCTTCTCCTCCTTCTTCTCCTCCTTCTTCTCATCCTTCTTTAGTTTAAGCTTAATACCAAGTTTCCGTCCAGCATTATCCATTTTGCCTGGAGTACTAGTCATTTCACTAACCCCTTCTCCCAGCTCTGGAGTGCTCTTTGTTTCCTCTTTTTTTGCTACTTTGGCTTTCTTCTCATCTTTTTCCTCTTTTTGCTTTTCTCCCAGTTTCCGTTTCATCTCGTTCTGCCGCCTGCGCTCTGTTTCCAGGACCACAGCCAACCCAGCCTGACGGTCCAAGTTTCTCCTTTCTTCATAGAGTGGATTCTCATCTACATATTTCTGTGGGAAAAAGGCACAATTTCAGTACTAAAACTTTGGAACTGTTCTGATTGGTTAGATTTGCCAGTTCTACACTAATAGGAGAATAGAGGTCTTCTTCCTATCAGGAAATATGGACTTCACACCCTGAATTCTGCAACATAACACCAAGAAAACCTTACAATTAAATCTTATATTCTACTGAAATGTTAGAAAGTCAGCACTGGGATTGAAGCCTGACTTGAATATCACATAGCTGAACACATAAATGCTATTTTTTTTTTTGCTTTTAACATGTTTAATTTGTTCAGTAGTAAATGGTGACACTATTTAACCATGAGACAAGTATTACTGCAAAGGGAAGGAGAAGAGAAAGAATCAGAAGCTAACAAAGGAATGGCACACTGCTGGTACACTGCTACCAACCTTATATTTCTCATTGTGGGGATGACTTTTCACATGTTGCTCTCCTGAAATTTGATCTCCAAAAAATTCATGACAGAGCTGGCAATAATATCCAGTGACGGGAATCAGAAACTCAGACCCTGAAAAGGCAAAAGAAAAAATAGAGAAATAAGAGAAAAAAAATGCCTAAGCTTTAATAAAAGCCAAAAAAAAATTGTTACAGGTAGCAATGATGCAGAACCTCCATGTCCTATTAATGCTCTTGGAAGTGAACAAACTATTGTTTGCACTTCCGGTATGGGGACTTGCACTATCAGGAATACTCCTCTGATTTTAACACATCCTATCTTTAGCATTATGGCTGAGAGAACTATTTTCCATTCTTTCCCTCCACCACTATTCTGCTCTCTCACTTCCAACAAAAGGTCCACTTCAAATACTAATTATTACCTAAAGCAAAGCCTCCTAAAGGAAAGCGCACACAATCTGCAATGCATGCCTGAGGAAAAAAAACAACTCAGTCAACCTTAATTCATTGTGTTTGTGCCCACATGAAACAACCCACTGTAACCTAACATACAGCAGATCCTTCTTCTAATGCTATTACCCAAAACACCAGGCTGAGAAGACTATATACAAGATAAAAAAAACCCAACAAATGGTCTGGTAGCACTTTATAGACTGACAAAACATGTGGATGGTATCATGAGCTTTCATGGGCACATCCTAAACTCATAGCTCCGGTCATCTGAAGTGGGATGTGCCCACGAAAGCTCATGATACCATCCACATGTTTTGTCAGTCTATAAAGTGCTACCAGACCATTTGATTTTTTTTCTGCAACAGACTAACTCGGCTACCCCCTGAAGCTTATATACAAGATAGTAAATCAATTTCTAATAGGACTGCTACATATATCACTTGTGTGCAGTAGGATTTTTTTAACCAAACATTACACCCTTCTAATTCACCATACATCCTTTCTGTACTTGAAATTCTCCCGATTTCACTCAAACCCAACAAGTTTATATCAATGGCTTCTATGGGGAACTAACTTCCCAGGACCAAATCAAATACATAAATGGAAGTCACACGCTTCAGAGTAGCCTAAATACTAAGCTCCCCAAAACGATAAATTATGCAACCTTTTTATGACTCCCAATGTTTCAGCAGCAGATCACCTCACAATGTCTGAATAGAATGAAACAAACCACCTAACACTTAGGACAAGCAACCACACAAAAGTAAAAAAAATATTGAAAACAGCTTATGATTCCCTACAACCTCACTCCATGTTCTTCTAAATTTGAATAACCAGGGAATGAAACATTCCCTCCTAACTCGGAATGGTTACTATACTCCTCCCATACATGGTAAAAATGTACACACTATCTAGAACCACAATCAAACCCCATATACTACCTCTCCCAGAGCAGCCGGAACCTACTGGGGGGGCAGATCAAAATCATACGTAGGAGAAAAGGGAAGTAACATACCTTTGGCAGGGACTGTTATCTTATCGATGCGTTTTATGAAGTCTTGTTTGGTCTCACTCTGGGTCTTCGAAGCCCAAGGTCTGTTGTAAGGATCCAGGGTCTATTTGCACAGTGACAGAGGCATACAGGCTCATTCATTACACTAACAAGTCAAATACACTTTTCCTTTTTCTTTTAAATCACTTTAGTACAATAAGAATCAAAATCAGAATACAAATATGAACAAGAACTACGTTCTCATCCCCTTCCCTTCCTCTCTGTGTGATTTGTTACAGAAAATAACCTGTGAAAAGGTAATATATAAATCAGATCAACATGTAGGTGGTGTTTGAAATGCAAATTTTTCGAAACTGGTGCCCTACTAACCTGGATAAAAAAGCCCCACTTATGCTAATAAAAAAGCTACACAAACTGCAGACACATTAAGTCAATTACATTAAGCAATTGCTCTTGAGTTCAGTATAATTTCAGGCTCTTTTGCAAAAGGTAATTTTGTGACTGATAATTCAGCATGTAATTCCTCATAACAGGAAGACTACTTAATGGAGGCTTGACACATACCTGTCTGTGTTTCTTATTGTGCATATGTGTAAAAAAGTCAAACATGGTCCCGCAGATGGTATTGCAGTCTTTGCACCAGTGGTTTCCTGCATCATAATATTCATAAATATTGGCCACCTGAAAAGGATGCTTGGCCTGAGAAGAGGATTCTGCAGGCTTCGGGCTTTTGCCTCTGGACTTTTCATTTGTTGTTTTTGACTCCTAAATGGAACATAAGGAAATGTTTCTTTAAGACACAGAAGGACACACAACGTGCTGGAATGCAAAACCTGCCTCGAAACACACACAAAAAATATTATCACCTGCTAGTCAACGCTCAGGCTAAGTCCACCGTTTCAGTGAGCTGGCACTGCAGACTCAGAAGCTGTGTGGCCAATGAAGAGATTCGAATAAGATTCCCAGATGTAATGTCTGAATGATAGGTATGTATCAAGGAACCAAATGAAAAAATGCCCCAAGGCAAGACCCTCCCCACTTTATGAATAAAGTATATGTTCCTGAGTGATGCCACTTAGAGTACAAGCTAAATATTGCTTAGGAATGTCCAAAAAGCCTCCCACTGCCATATTGTGATTATAGTAAAATTAACTTCAATAGAAACAGAATAAAATGAGGATTGAATCAGTTAACTCAAAACTATTTAACTAGCAAAGAATAACACCCTGCAAAGCTCAACAAGTGCCTGGTATTTTCCATCAGGGTCATAGCTTCTAAGAAGCCAGAAAGAAGCTTATTTTACCCAAGATTATATAGTACAACGTGTATCTTTTGCTTAGATACACCCCGAATAATAGCTGATGGTTCATGCACGTAAGTGCTTGCTGATAGACACTGACCTGTAAAGTCAAAAATCATATAGCAGAAGACTTCGCTGTTTTAAAAAGTAAACAATATCATCTTAAATCAGGAATATGAGGTACAGATGAAAATCAGAGTGAAAAATTAAATACACAAGAGGAATATAAGATTGGGTCAGCCTTGTTGGCTTAGACATTGTCCTCTAGATATTGCCATTTGCTAAATACACAGTTTGTGCTTCATGTTTTGTGGGTGAAACAGCATCAAATGACCATTTCCTATCTGTGTAACTGCCTCAAAAATTAATATTGATAGCTGAGCTGGCACAACGCACAAAGCACTGTTGCATCATCTCCCAAGTTATTCAGTTCCAATGTCAAACAAATGCAACTATATGACCACTCCATATCTTTTCATCAGTAATCCATGAATGAAGTTCTCTTTGATATTGGAGCCGTAAGAGATCTACACATGTAGTGACTACTTCCAGAACTAATAGCTCTGGAACAGAGTGAACATAGCATTCTTTTATCCAGCGAATGGAAAGGGCAACATGTATCTGTCAAGAGCATTATGTGAATAGCAGGGACAGGCCCCAGTAAGTCACATCCCTTTGGAATGAACATATTGACCCAATGACAGATGGTAGCCACTTCTCTCCATCTTTTATGCTTCTTCATGTTAGCAGAAAGTGAGCAGTATGCAGATCACAGTATCACTCTTCAAAACAATAGAAACAGTAAAGAAAAAAAAAACTCATGCAGGAGAATAGCCTTATTAGGGCCTCTTATTTAACAGGCAATGTTGCAGAATTAGTGCTTCACTTCTTTGCCACTAAGTTTTTATGTTTTTACTTTCCCTATTTGGAGACGGTTTGTGCAACCACACACTGACTATCCAGTCTCAGAAAACAGATGGATTGTAAAGTATTGCTACAAAGACGGATACACACGTGCCACGGAGAGTTTATTTCAGTCCTGCCCCAGGCCAAGAAAAATGTTCAGACTCTTCATGTCAAATTAGAAAAGGCCACAGCCAATTTTTCTCTCTTTTTATTAAAAAGTTACCAGCCAGAACTCCTGGGTGAACCTAAGAGATTAACAATAGTATTCCATGTGTCTGTAAGAACACCAGCTGTTCCTGGCAAGGGTGTAGAATTTTCCAAGTTAAAATGAGCAACCATTAAAATGAAATCAGTTGACTATGTGTATGTATAGAAGGAGTACAAACAACATAAGACAAAGTAGTCTGAATTGCCATACCCCCATGAACCCTTTTGCAAAATATTGGATATGGTCACGCCTACAGAATGAAAAACAAACCAAAAATGTATGCCGAATACTGTCTCTGCTCAAAATGGAAAAGTTACCAATTCAGAAAATAGGTTCATACATCTCCCAAACATAGATGCCAACCGTCAGAGGCTACTGCACATGTGACCTACATAAAAGTTTTAAGACTGTCTTCTGGAATATAAATAATTTCTTCTGTGGTTACTGTTACCCTTTTAAACATAGAGTGCTCATATAAAGAGTGGTAGCCTTTCCTGAAAAGTGAACAGGTACGTATGCTTGCACCAATAGTGTAATATTTATGTAATAATATGTAATGTAATAATAATGTATTAATGTAATACAAATGTTAGCTTAATAAGTCTTGCCCTGATGTCCTAGTGGGGGGCTGGAAACAGATGCCTCTCCAGTGCCGCCTTCTCAAAACAAGGAAAATATTTAACACCCAAGTCTAAGATTTTACCTTATTGGAGAAGGGCGTTTTCTCCAGACCTTTTGCATTCTCTGCCTTGCTGTTTTTTTCAATGGACTCTTTAATTTCCACAGATGGTTTCCGAGGTTTTTCAAAAATGTTTATTCCCAGGATCTGGGCTACCTTGTCAAGCTCAGATTGCTTCTTTTCTGCTGCTTCAGACTCCTTGTGCAGCTCAGAAATCTCCTTCATAATGTTTTCTTGCAGCCGGTTCACCTCTGCCAGTAAAGGGTCTTTGTGCCCATCTTTCTCCCTCCTTTTCTTCCTCAGCATCTCTCCTGAGCCAAATAAGGAGGCAAAGGAGTAGGAAGTGCAAGAAGAAACTCATGTTAAAACATGTACAATTATTTCTGTCATATAATTATTTGTTAAATTTATAAAATATTTAGGTTCAGAGTTTTTGAAAGGAAAGAAGTATGAAACTGTGCTCTTGGGAAACAAGCTCAATGGAGAAATCTCACACCCCAAGACAGAAATTTAAATTTCCCTGTTACTGTGTGACCAAACAAGCAGTCCTTGACTTTCCTTGCATTGCTCAACAAATGGATCTCAAACCTATCCTAAAGGACCGTTTTTCCTGAATTTGAAGGAAAAATTCAAACTTTTTTTTGGTAAAACAAGTTTGAAGCTACCCCAAAATACTATTAAAAGACTGCTTGCACTGTTGTTGTATCCATATGGTTCTAAGGTATGAGAAAGATAAGGAAGCAAGGTAATCTCTTTCACTGGACCCACTTCTGTTGGTGGAAAATACTAACTTTCAAGCTACACAAAGATTTTCTTCAGATCTGGGGAAGGAAATCACAGTGTTTGCACTAAAAGGTTAGGACAGATTGTAAATGTATTTAGCTTAGACCTGGCATGGGGAACCTACGGCCCCGTGCCTTGCCTTGATCCAGGCTGCAAAGCTTGGGGCTTCTCCGTCCATCCCACTGCCTAGCAGGGGAGAGGAAAGACAAGGAAAGTTCTGCCCCTGCACTCAATTGCAGGCTCCATTCGTCACTCCCATTGGCCAGGAATTCAGCCAATGGGAGCAGCAGCTGCAACCTGCAAGCACAGAGCAAACTATGCCCCTTTGGGATTTGTGAGAGGTTGACACCTCAATCCCCTGGATCTTCCTCCAGCACTCTTCTTCCCACCTAGACCCTATACTCCCAGCCTGCTCCGGCATCCTACCTCCTGCATAGACCCTGCACCCCCTGCCCACTCCCTAGCAGCCCCCCTAAACACACTAAATCCTTAATTTCTGGCCCCATCACAAAGCCTAGGGGTAAGCAACAAAACCTACAAGCCCCAAGCACCCAGAAGAGTTAATCTAGCTCTCTGGGAAGGAAGCCCTGAGCCTTGTTGCCATGAGGCAAGAGTGTGAGGGGAACCCCGGTTCCCCAAGTTCCATGAGTGAGGTATCTTTTTTCCTACTTATCAATTGAGGGTACATCAGTGAGGTTTTGGGTAGTTTTTTTGCTTCTCACCTTGCATGTGGTCCCCAAATGATTTTTCTGTGGATCACTGGCTTCTAACTCAAAAAAAGGGTCCCCCACCTGTAGCTTAGACACTCATATTTTCTTCAGCAAACATAAAGAGCGACTCTGTGTAGCTCGAAAGCTACAGAACATCAGAAACTGGTACAATACAAGATAAACTACCTTGCATTCCCAAGGAGGAATTTATCCTCTTTCCAGATTAGATTTACTAAAAACAAGAAGTGATGGGTTGACAGACATCATTTCTCCTGCATTAACACACTGCAATGTAGAGTGAAATAAACTTAATGTGTCAAGTTGCTCAGTGGCACATTTCAGAAAACTGGGCCCAAGTCCTTCTCTACTCTGGGTCAGTACAAGATTCCAATTTCAAAGGCAATCTAAACAACTGCTAATTACAGAATGGCTGTACATTTGCATACACATTATGGTAACGCAGTGACAGTCACTGCTTTCTAAAAAAAATAAAAAAATTGAGGTACTTGGAGTGGGAAAACATTAGATCCCATATTCTAGATTACTATTCTGATCTATACTCTTATTCCAGACAATTGTTTCTGAACTACACTTATTCTGACCTGTATTACAATATGGGATCTTTGGAGCCCATCCTGGGGGGAAAAGGGGAGGAAGAAAAGGATCAGTAAATACCTTGTTGCTTACGTAGCCTATCTAATTCAGTCTTGAGATAATAGAGCTTCTTCTGCCTTGCTTCTCTCTCATTCTTCAGTTTCTCTCTCTCTTCTATGACCTAAAAAGATTTGGAAGAGAAGGGCGTGAAATGCCTTCCAGCACAGACAAAGCAACACTGCCAAAGTGATTGCTAGGACTCCTTTACAGTTCATTGGATATCATTTATTCTAATCACTGTTCTCAATATAATCTTCTGTTAACCTTTCAATATAAAAAACAAATCTACTCCTTTTTTTCCACCTTTAAACACATTTTTTGTATACTATATATCTGTGTTAATTTTTCAATCCAACGAAAACCCAACGGAAAAAAGTCACAACTCCATTAACTCTTATTGCTGCTATTGCACTGGTAAATATAGTTACTCAAAAAATCTAGTTTTATTTTTAATTAATTAAAATTAAATTACCAGTAAATTATGGGAGAGTATATAAAGCACATACTAATCTGCTAAAAGCTTATGACATCTCTTTGTAGAATATGGCCCTTTGACCAAAAATAAAGCAAAGCCATTGCCAAACAAAATCTTTTTACACTATGGCTGGGATTTTCAAAAGCTCTCAAGTATTGGACTATTCATTTCACTGAGTGCAGTGTTAGTCCAATGCAGATAACTTTTGAAAATCCCATGCTGTATCTTCAAGGCATGCACACTTCAATGAAAACTAATTAAAAATTGACTCTACCACCACATTTGGCATTCTCCTCTTACACTCTCCTTGGCTTTAACAATTTAGTTTTTGTTTCAGTCCTACCAGTTCATAAGGCTGTATGTTTTGAGGTACAACCCACAAAGTATAACCTTATGAAGGAAGACTGAAAGAATTGGGTTTTTTTTTATTTGGAAAAGTGACGACTAGAAGGGGACATAATAGCAGCTAAAGTACCTGAAATAGTGTTACAAGAAGGGGAAAGAAAAATTATTCTCCTTCTTAACATCTGATGATAGGACAAGAAGCAATGGGCTTAAATTACAGCAAGGGAGTTTAGGTTGGACATTAGAAAAAGCTTCCCAACTGTCAGGATGGTCATCCACCAGTACAAATTGCCTACAGATGGCAAAATCTCCATCACTGGAGGTATTTAAGAGCAGGTTAGACAAATACCTTTCAGGAATGATCTAGATGATGCTTGGTTCTGCCATGAGGGCAGGGGACTGGTCTTGATTATCTCTCGAGGCCCCTTCCAGTCCCAGTGTTCTACAATACAGGCAGTCCCCGACTTACGCGGATCCGACTTATGTCGGATCCGCAGTTATGAACGGGGCTCGCCCCGGAGGACACGGACTGCGGGACCTCGCGGTCCTGCCACCCGCGTACTCCGGGGCTTTCTCCGCGTCTCCCTGGTCTGCAGACCAGGAAGACGCGGAGCAAAGCCGCAGAGGGGCTCGGGCAGCGCGCCTGGGCTGCTC